TCAACTTACGAACCGAGGGGCCAACCGTCTCCCAGTTTTGATTGAAAAAGAGGGCATTAAGCCCATCCATACCTGGGGCCTTAAGGGAGCCCATGCCTCGTAGAGCTAGACTGATCTCTTCATCGGTAATGACGCTGGCCAAGGGCTCCATAAGACCTGCATCACAGGGCAGGAATTGACTAGGCACAACATTGCGACATGGCAGGTTTCCATCCGTATAAATGCCCCTAAATAATCAGTGGCCATGGACCGAAGGGCGGTTTGGTCCATTATCAGGGCACCATCATCATGAAGGAGTTCCATGATTCTCCCCTTCCGCCTTCGATATTTCAACTGCCTGTGGAAAAAGGAGGTATTTCTATCCCCAAAGAAGGCCCAATTACGAACCGACTTTTGCAAAAGAAGTAACTCCTCTTGAACTATCACGTCAGCCAACTCGGCCAGAGGCTCGCGTTCCAGGATCTGGAGCTTGTTATTAAAATAGAATTGGCGGCACCTTTGGATGCCACCTAACCGAGCTCGTAGTCGTTTTTTTCGCTGCCCGAAAACTGTAGAGTTCCATCTCTTGGCGGTTTCCACAAAACTCGTCGCTGCCTCCATAAAACACTCTGAGGGTCTCCACGCCTCTTGAAGCATTTCCTGAAATCCAAGATGGAGAAGCCAGGATGCAAGGAAGCGGAAAGGCTTCGAGCCTGGTGACTGTGAATTTGTTCTCCCGAATTCGGCCATCAAAGGAGAGTGGTCTGAGTGAGTCCGAAGGAGTTGGCGGACCCGCCCCGCACTAAACTTCTCAATCCATTCCAAATTAGCAATAAACCTGTCCAGCTTTTCAGCAATCCGACCGTTTGGACCCTCCCGAAACTAGGTATAAATATGAGTGTCGGCCTCTACCTCTTGTAGGCCGTTATTAAAAATCCAATCAATAAAATCTTGGCTTATGTTGCAAAAGCGAGAAGATCCCTCTAATTTTTTCGAGCATCGAATGAGACAATTAAAATCTCCCCCTATCAACCATGGTTCAGCGGCCCGAGCCGCTAACAGCGCCAAGTCCTCCCACAAAGTCTTCCTAATCCTCGCGTTAGGGCTCGCGTATATAAATGATACCAAGCATGCCTCACCCTGCTTCACCACCCGAACATGGACTAACTGACGAGTACAGAACATAACCTCAACCTTCACTTCGTCTGTCCACAATAACCAAATGCCTCCAGAAAAGCCTCGGGCTTCAACCCGGAATGAGTTATCAAAATTACTATAACGAACAAAATTTTCTGGATTCTTCCCACTAATCTGTGGTTCGAAAAGAGCTACGACGTCTGGGCGAAACTGATGCATTAAGGTTGAGAAGACTCCCTTGAATGTAGGCGAGCCTGCACCTTGAACATTCCACGTAACAATATTCATGGGGAAAACTGTAGAAAAGGATGAGGACGACCAATTCTGAACCGGAGAGTCCAGCATGTCATCAAAGCCCATCGGCGGAGTCACCAAGTATGTCTGATCATGATGATGCGGAGAACTTGATGTCTCTCCCGACCACGGTTCACGGGGTCTCCTGCAATCAATCCCTCCATAGCCATGTCTTCTTCCTCGGCATCATCAAGTGGACACGGATGGGATTCGGTAACACTTCCTCGTGGGGGCGAAACATCCTCAATGACGATAGCGTGGTGTTTGGACGGGTTGAGTCCCGCTCCCACCTGAATAAATCCAGGGTTGGATCCAGCGTGTGTCATTTCCATCGCGCCACCACTTGTTGTGGCAGAGACCCCTCCCGAACGTGAACCCGAACCATGCACGACAGTGTCGGCCGCAATTTCCATCTGAGATGCACCTCGTGTAATGCCTGAGCCACCGCCGGCAGCCTTTCTTCCTTTCTGCATCGTGGGGGTATTCCGTGATTTCTTACCATTCCTAACGACCACCCTCCACTCATTATCGCTCGGCCTAGCGGTCGAGGAGTTCACCTTAACGGCTCTCGTCCCAGAAGCGTCCTTAGTGCGGGCTGCACACGTAAAGTGAGGGGTTGATCCTGGGTTTCTTCTCGTCCTAGGATATCGAACTGGGTACCCATGTCGGGAGTGGTAGACGGATTCTGATTGTTGGCAGCCCCGATTTTAGTTCGGCGAGTATAAGGTTGGCGCACTCGTTGTGGGACTTGAATCCATGGGCCGTACTCACTCGTCGGGGCTCCGCCGTGAGCAACTGAATGATCGCTGGAAGACTCTTCACCTTTTCCAGCATCCAAATCTCCAGAATGGGGTCGGTTGTCGTGTCATCTCGATTCCTCTGGCTCAGTAGGACCATGGAGACAAGAACTACTCGAATGTCCAATTCGGCCGCATTGGAAACAGATGATCGGGAGGTTCTCATAAACCACTCGCTGTTGTCGTTCATTAATCGTAAAGTTGACACATAGTGGTTTAGTAAGGTCTACAAGTACCGCAAGTCCAGCAAACTTGCCAAGGGTGAGTGCCGCAGTTTGTTGGTCAATCTTTATAACTTTCCCCACGACCCGACCAATGGTCTTAAATATTGTCTTGTGGTATAGATGGGCAGGTAGCCCAGGAAGTCGTATCCACGCAACAGTAGCCGAGATTTCTTCCTTCGTCGCATCAAAGTTTAGGCTCCAAGGTTGAACATGCAAGTACCCATTGCCAACAACGTAGGGTCCACCAGTCGTAACCCTGACCGCATCATCATTGGTACTGAAATGAATAATGTAAAATCCATTCTCGAGGTCCATCATGTTGCAGCCCGCCATGAAAGGCCACATCTTGGTTAACCGATTATATAGCGACGACATCGTGAGAGAGTCGTCAAAAGGTTTAACTACCACTGCGTTTATCCATTCCGTCGCGATACGTTCAAAGAATGTTGGCGCAATTTTGATATTCGACCACTGACGGAAGAGGTCCACTGATACTTCCCCTTCACTGTCATCGACGTCCTTGTCGTCGTTCGGCTGAATCTCAACGTGATTCCTTTGCTTATTGATCATGTCACGATACGACCACCGCTGAGGTGGAGGGTGTGCAGTAGCAGCGACTGAGGGCTTAGCTGTCGGAATGGCAGCAATAGGTGGGTAACCAGAAGCCAGAGGTTGGGCACTTGCGGCGAAACCGCCACTGGGTTAGATGTTACGAATTCGCCTGAGCGGGTGCGGGTTCTAGAGCGCTTTGATACCGGAGGAGCAAATTGACCAAGAGGCGGAAATTCCGATTGTAAGTTGTCCGGCGGATCAACTCCTGGGTCTACGGTGGCCGAAATCAGATTGGGTGTCGAAGGGCGATTTCCAGTCATGTTAGGGTTCTTCAGAAACATCTTTTTGATCAGGCAATTTGCTTTGGCCCTACAAAGTTACGTCATTTAGAAGTGAAGTCGTGAACCAAACCAAACGACCTTTATTTCGAATTTTGATTTGCTACGTTTGGAACTCACTAATAAGTAAGACGCATTAATTATTTTGACGTAATGATAAGTGTGAAATCTTAGATTAAACTCAATTCCTCAAAATGAGTGACAAAATCTAATGATAAGTTGACCTTTAAGTTTAATTAGAGAAATTATTCATAATTTTTTAAAAAATAATATGAAGAAGGAAGCCTATAAAATTTTGTTTCTGGCTGATATTATTTTTTCAAGTATTTTACTTTTGACAAAATTGCATTTTCAGTCATGCTAGTTTAACTCCGCAGTATTTTTAGTTTCAAAATTTAACTTTTCGTCTTTTGATCCTGTAATTTAGTATATTTTGCTGCAATTTCAGTCCTTTGGGACTGAAATGACAACAAAATTTAAAATTACAATACTTAAATTACTAATAAAAAATTCAAAATTGCGTTGAATTTTAAAATTATAAGACAAAATAGCAAAAATATTCATTTTTTAAGAGTAAAAACGTCACTAGATCAAACCAACATGACTAAAATTACGATTTTGTCTTTAGTTTTCAATGAAACCTAAAACAGTGGGGTCTACATTTTTTTTCTTGCACCTACTTTAGAACTCAAAAATTAAACAGCCTTTATGAGCTGAAAAGGATTGATCTCACATTTAAAGCAGAAAATCTGTTGAGTAAAATTAAAGAAAAAAAAAAAAGAAAAAAACTCTTTTTTAGGTTGGTCTGACAGTTAGACGTAGTGATCCGTGATACACGTATTTGATAACAATAGCTTTTGACAGATTCTTGAAGACCATATGGGATTTGAGTTTCCTTAATCCAACAAAATCCACTTTTTTTCACTAAAATGGGCATCACCACCTTTGTATTCTCCTAGAATACATCGAAAATAATTATTCCCAGAGACACTTAGCATAACACCCCCTCAATTTAGGGCTATTTACAAATTAAACACAAGTCTTTCGAAAATATAAAAGAGAGGACAAATTAGAAGATAAATATGTTACACCACAATTTTTTTTTTATACCACCCTCAAATTTTCAACACAATAAATATGTGGTGGGTGTTATGGTAAGTGTCTCTTTCAATCTCAATTTTACCACCTTCAATTATTGAGTAAATTGCTTTTTTTTTT